GCGCCGGCCCCAGCCACTGCTGGCTCCGTCAACCCTGCAAGACGTCCAGCTCTGCACAGAGCAATGCAAACCCGCAGCGCATCCTGCCAGCCCCTCGGCCGGGCTGTGCCTGCCTGGAATGCAAGGCCCCCGTCCAGCCCAGCCCAGTCCGGCGGCTCCCAGCCGGCTCCCTCGGGGAATTCCAAGGGCCGCTGCCTCGTTTAACCTCTGTCTTTACTGCAAGCGGACCCTGGCTCGGCCACGTGCTGCCTCCGTGCCAACGGCCCAGCTCCTTCCGGGGTGCAGTAACAGGGGACAGGGCACACACAGGTGGTGACTGTCCCACTCTGGTAGGCACAGGGGAGCCCGCACTGGTGCCCAGTTCTGGGCACCACACTGGGGGAAAGACAGGAACAAATCGGAGCGAGTCCAGAGAAGAGCAATGAAAACAATCCAAAGGTTAGACAATGTGCCCTCCGAGGACTGGTTAACATCACTGGCACATACATGCTGGAACTGGAGCTGCAGGGTTTCCTGTCAGGGATGGTCTTGCCTCAGTGCAGAAAGTGGGTCCCTTCCAGACCCCCATTTCTCTAGTTCCACGGAGGGGTCGCTTGCAGTGGCAACCTGGCACAATGCAAAAGATTCCCACACACCTTCCCTGCCCCCCGCCCCACACACACACACACAGGAGGCAGGAGAGAGCAGCGCAACCCAGAAGAAAAAGCCAAAGGAGGAAGGAGAGAGGCCGGAGGGAGCCAAGAATCAGTCCGCTTGCAGGAGCAGAGTCTGCCACAATGAAAAATAGCTTGGCGTCGAAGCGCTTGTTTTGTCTTAATCATGGCTGGTGGCTGTTTATTAGTCGCTCAGCTGAGCGTTGCCACAGCCTGTAAATGGCGCTGAAGCAAGCTGTGCCAGGAGCCGGCTCTCTCCCGGGGAAAGCCGTCACCCTGCCAGATGCCGATGGCTTTGCAGAGCCCTCAGATTGAACGCTTTCCTGTCGCACGGGCAGTGCCAGACCAGCCGCCGTCCACGTGCAAATCCCGCTCACAGGCCACTCCTGAGAGAGCCGCCTGCCAACACCCCCGTGGCCCGGCCAACGTTCCCCGTCCGGAGGAGCCTGGTCTCCAGGGTTCATAGGGCGGTGACTTTTGGCTGCATTTACACCAGGAAACCTCTATGCCGAGGGTCCCCGGGTAGCCTCTGGGCTTTGAGCCGTCCAACCTTTCTAGGCACGTTTCTCTTCAGAGCACCACACGACTGACTTTCTGCCTTCTCCGCTGGCTGCGAGAGTGACCCCGTGCCCTAGGGGTGTGTGCCGAGAGCTAGATCACCGGGGCTCTTTCACACCCCCGCCTCGTTCGTGCACCGGGGCGTCCGCGCTGGGAAACATGTCTCCTCTGCCGGGTCGGCACAAAGCGTTGTGTTCCTGGAGGGGTCCACGGGCGGCAGCTCCGTGGGCCGTGCTGCCCTTGTTGCTTAACACAGGTGGGATATTTGGGGGCAGTGGGGCGGTTGAGCGCAACAGCAGGTGCTAGGGGCAGCTGCACATAACTAGAAGCAGCTTTCAGCCGTGCAACAAGGCCCATCTGCTCGGAGGCACCTGTAACTGGAGCTGGGCCCGAAACCAGACGCCAGCTCCCAACCCAGTTCACACCAGCCCCCCAGGGCCATCTCAGCGTGGAGCTGCCCCGAATGGAATCAGACTCGTAGAATCCTAGAACTGGAAGGGACCGCGAGCGATCATCAAGTCCAGTCCCCTGCCCTCACGGCGGGACCAAGCACCATCTAGATTAGTGTTTCCCAATTTTATTTGGCCACGGAACCCCTAGGGGAGCCACGCGATTTGTCAAGTGAAAAAAAGACCTGCCGCCGCTTTTCGTCGAGGAAGGAAAAAAAAACGAGTCCCGGTGCAAAAAAAGCACTGTCTCTTTAAGAGGGGGCGGGGGAGTGCAGACCCCTCGCGGAACCGTTACTTTCACTTCGCGGAACTCCGGGCTTCCAGGGAGCACCAAGAGGGAAACGCTGATCTAGCTCATGCCTGAGAGAGGCCTTTCCAACCTGCTCTTCAATATGGCCCGTGATGCAGAATCCACAACCCCCCTGGGCAATTTCGTCCCGTGCTCCATCGCCCTGACAGTTAGGTTCTTCTGAACTTCTCATGCGTTGCTACTTGTCCTATCCTGAGATGTCAAGGAGAACAATTTTTCTCTCTCCTCCTTGTAACCCCCTTTTCGATACTTGAAAGCTGCTCTCCTGGCCCTCTCCGTCTTCTCTTTTCCCAGCTAACCAAGCCCAGCTCTTTCAGCCTTCCCGCCTAGGTGATATTGTCAAGCCCTTTCATCATTTTTGTTGCTCTTCTCTGGACTCTCGCCAATGTCTCCACATCTTCCTTGAACTGTGGTACCCAGAACTGGACACAACGCTCCAGCCGAGGCCGAATCAGCGCCGAGTAGAGTGGAAGAACGACTTGGCGTGTCTTGCTCACCCCACTCCTGTTCATGCAGCCCAGAATGACATTTGCTTGTTTTGCAACCCTGTCATATTTAGCTTGTGGTCGTCTGTGACCCCTCGGTCGCTTTCTCCAGGGCTCCTTCCTAGACAGTCGCTTCCCATTCTGGAGGTGTGGGACGGATTGGTCCTTATTGAACGTCACCCTGTTTAGACCACCTCAGGCCATTTCTCCGGTCTGTCCAGATCATTTGGAATCGGGACCCGCTCCTCCAAAGTGCTTGCTGCAATTCCCGCCCAGCGCCCGGGGCTGTCTCAATGCAGAGCTGGCCTTTCCCTCCCGGCCTTTCTTGGGGCTGGAGCAAGTCAAACGCCACCCAACACTGGGTGAGCATGTCAACCCGGCGGGCGTGTTCGTTCCTGGGCCCCTGGCAGCGGGACAGCCCTAGAAGGTGCAAAGCTGGGGGGGGGACTCTGGGGTTCGGAGCCCCCCCCCCCCAGCTCCAAGCAGCACCATGAGGTGCCGAGCGCCTGCAAACCGGACCACGAGAACGGGCCGAGCCCCCAGCTCTAAGGAAACGCATCCCCCTCACCCAGCGACGGAGGAGGGAGGAGGGAGGGATGAAGGGGGCTTTGGGCATCGCTTCAGAATGGAGTCATGCGCCCAGGACTGTGCCCCCAAGCCAGCCTGGCCTGGGGAGTCGCTGAGCTGTGGCTGGCAGCCGGCCCCAGCCCCAAGGAAGGTCGGGAGAGACGGAATTGGGCGTCATTCGCTCCGCACAGAGCCGAGCCGCCACATCGCGCTCCCCTGGGCGCGGCACTGCCAGGCTGGCTCGGAACCGGGGCCCGGGGTTCCCAGTGCATCCCACAGTGACCTGCCCACAGGGCCCCGGAGAAGGGGGCAGGGGGGCGGGGGCATTAGCCGGAGGTCACTCGCTCAGGAGATTCGCGCATCCTTTCCCCAGCGTTCCCCCTGCAGACGCAGCTGGCGCCCTGCCTCCCCCGGCCTCCCTCCCTCGCCCCAGGCCTTCCCCTGCCCAGCCCCACAGCCCTGCAGCTGAGGGAGGGAGCCCGGCAGCCCCCCGGGGGCTGGGCCCTGCTGCGCTGCCCTTTTCCTTAGAACAGATTTTCCCCCCCTGTGGCCACGTAAACATTTGCTCTCTGTGCTCTTGGCCTTCACGGCAGAACGTGTTTGGCTTTGGGTACCTTGTCAACACGCCGAGGCCGGGGGGGGCGGGTCGTGCTGAGACGCCTGGTCACAGAGTCTTGAAGCCC